TATAAAGCATCCAGCCCCCCGGACAGAGCTGTGAGGGGGGGGCGTTCCCACCCCAGCTTTCTAGAGCTGCTGCCTAACCTTGGGGCTTGGGGGAGAGGCCTGAGGGGTGCCAGGGCCAGCTCTCCCTGTGGCCCTCAGCCCCACACTTTGCCTTTGTGGCCCATGCTGGCTGGGCAGGGGGAGGGGGAGCAGGTCCAGCTTCCTTTCTGTAAAGTTGTTGATGACTCTTTTTTTAACCGAGTCTGCTGGAAACTTCTCTCATGTTGTTAAATAAAACATTTATTTCGGGCCCCCGTGGCTCAAGACACTGCGGCTGGTCAGAACTGCACTTGTCTTGCCTCTGCAAAGGGCAGGGCTATCCCACTCTCCTAAGCCAATTCTTGGCCCTCTCAGCTGGCACATAGCCTCTTCCTGCTCCTGAGCCAGAGCAAAGACCTTTGCCAGGCCAAATCCCCAGCCCAGTGCCAGCCACAGGAGCTAACTCCAGTCCCTGCGGACAGCCCAGCAGTTGTGGCACCCTGCCTTGTTCTCATACGAGGGGGCTGCAGTTTCAGCATGAGAATGTGTAGGTTTTTGCAGTTGGCAAAAGCTCATTAAGCAGGTCTGGGAGTTGTTTTTCCCATCCCAGTGCCCTCACTAGAAAGACCTTTACCTATGCTGCAGCAAGCAAGGCTATGTTCTACACCACCACCTCTTCAGTGAGCCTTTGCACAATTTCAAGCCTCTGTAAGACCAGCAAGACAGAAACACAGCCAGACACTGCTAGCTGGACACCAGCAGCACAAATGCTTGGTTGCCTGCATGTCACCCACACTCAGGCCAACATACCACCTTCAGCTAAGAAATAAGACCAATCCAACCTCACCCCAACTAGAAGATGCCCAGACACTCTGCTTTTCCTCTTGCTCACGGAATACGCCACAAGCAGATTTTTGTCTAGCCTTTATTAAAAGAAAAGTTATAAAAAGAGGTTCAGGAGCTCCCAGCAGCTCCAAGTTAGTAGTAGTGCAAACCATTGGTTAGAGAAAGAATCATCCCTGCAGAGACATTGAACACCATTTGGCTTTGCATCCACAAAAAGGAAGTCTTCCCAGCTGCAGTCCTGCTGGTTTGAGCAGGGGCCCAGGGCAGAGCAGGCTGCCAGCTCAGGGAAAGACTCCTCTCCTTCCCTCTGATTCAGCTGCATGGATAGCAAATGCAGGTCTCAGGGGCATCCTGATCACAACAGAGCAGGAGAAACATGGGAGGGTGGATGCAGCTGGCATTCTAGAAGAGGCACTGGAGGGTTACTAGGTAGCAGCTCAGACACTTGCCAGGTTCATCGCTGAGAAATTCCTTTATAAGGACAGACAGCTCCATGTCAAACAAATAAAGTGCCTCAGCAGAGCAGCTGGAGGATGATGATCAGTCACTCCCGCAGCAGACACTGCTGCCCCTTGAGAACACCCCTGGGGTGTCACCTAAACAGGGTAACAGCACTCTGCCCATGGCTGACCTTGCAAGGAACACAGTGCTAGCTGCTCAGAGGCTGCAGAGCTCTGAAGGAAGCAGTAAGAAATGTTTATTATATAAAAGAATTTGGCCTGTGTTGTCTTCTGTTTTTTCCCTCCCCAAGCCCCACTAATGGCAGGACTCCTCAGCTGGTGATCTGCACTGGTATCTTCCAGCAGAACAACATCTGGTCCTGGTCATCCACCAGCTCCCACTTTACAATCAGTTTAATCTGAAAGAGAGAAGAGCAGAGGAAAATGAGAGCATTCAGGAAGCCTTTAAGGCAAAGGCACAGGAGGAGAGACACACTGCATTCAGATCCCCACTCCCCTGAATAAGCAGAGAGTGAAAACATCCTGCAGCCTCTCAGCTGAACTGCACTCCAGAGCACCTCTGGTCTGTGAGCATAGGGCTGCATGCAGCAGGCTCTGCTAGGAGGCACAGTATAGGAGGATACTGGAGCAGCTGAAGCCACTTCTCAGCAGCTGGAGGTTGGCTGCTTCCTCTGCTGGGTCTGTCACAAAGTAGGAATTTGAAACTACAGTCATGCTCATAGCACAAATAATACCAGATTGTCTACAGAGTCTTTCTCTCCCTTGGCAGAACAGAACAGGGTGTCTTCCCTTAAAGACAGGTGGTGGGACTGCCCCAGTAAGGGCAGCAGCTCTAAGGAGCAGACCAGCTGCTTGCATACTTACACTGGGGTACTCGCTCTTCACAGGGAGTTTATTCAGGTAGCTGTAGGAATGGCCCTTCTGAATGGGGCACTGGATCCCGGACTTGCATCCGTCGGGCTCAGGAATAGGGAAGGGTACATCCACGTGCAGCATCTCGCCGTACACCCTGGCTTTGCTGCCCTGGCTCTCGATCTCTGCAAAGCACGGAGAAATGCGAGCACGGCACCAGAGCAGGGAACACGTGTATACTTCACTCTCTTCCCTCCACGTACCCCAGAAGCTGC